TTTTTCTTTTTATTTCTTAAACTAACTTCTTTTATTAGCTAGAACAAAAGATTTTGCCAGGACTGTAACAACAACAACAACCTCTTTTTCTTCTTCTCCTTCTGAAATGTCCCTTCTCACTCCCAAATTCCTTTCAACTCCTGAGTTTACATCCAAGCAAAAAGCAAAATTCCTGCACTCGTGCTCGTTCGCTGCTCCCGTCAGATTCTCTGTTCCCCTCCGCATCTTCTCACACTTTCAGTCTCCATGCTGTCCCGCCGTGATGAGTCTGACACAAGAATTGGCACAAGTTAACAGAGCATTTCCCTCCCTCCCTCCCTCTGCTTTCCTCAGCGCATTTCAATCCATCCCAGGCCTGCAACGATGCACCCTCACCCCAAAGCTCACAGCAAGCGTGCAGCAGCTCAGGCTCACCTGGCTCCAGGGCTCTGTGCCTTGGATAGCCGAGGAAACTTCTGATGAGCCTCCGTTCCAATCAACTGGAATGCAAACTCACCTCCATCTCAGAGCCTCAGTGACCTCGGCCAGCCCCTTCCTCACTTCCCTGGGTCACAATGACTTCCAGGCACAAGGATGCCAAGCAGGTTCTTGTCTTTTCTCTTGAGTGCCAACAGGTCAAATATGTAGGCTTTGACATAACTAATTACCCTCTCTTTGAACTCTCCCAAGGACACTTTTAAAGAAAAGACACAAGATTGCTGCTACAGCCATATGGGATCGGGAGGAAAGCAGCAAGGATCCCAGGCCAGCGGCGCGGCCGGGCAGTGTCACGTCCCTGCCGCCCTGTGACAGGGCACACGGCTGCAGGGCCCCAGAGCCTGCAGGCCCTGGAGCTGCCGCACGGATGGACCCAGTTCCCTCCCCGGGTGCCCAGAGGGAAACCTGAGGGCAGGTGTCCACCCCGAGGGTGCACCCAGAGCCCCGGGCACGGATGGAGTCACTGGCCGCTCTCTGGGGACGAGACCCTCCCTGCAGGTGACACTGCCTTGCCCTCTCCCTCCCTGTGGCACAGGCACCTCCAGGCTCCATGACCAGCCTCCTTCCGTCAGCATCCAGGTGCTGTGTCGGAGCCAGAGGGGTCGAGGCTTTCCAGAACCATAGCATCCTTTAGGCTGCAAAAGCCTTCTAAGGCCATCGAGCCCAGCTGCTGCCCCAGCACTGCCAAGCCCCCACCCAAATCAGGTCCCTAAACACCACATCTTGCCATGCTTCAAATGTCTCCAGCAATGGGGACTGCCCTGGGCAGCCCGCTCCTACGCCTGACCACCCTTTCAGTGAACAAATTGGTCCTCAAAGCCAATCTGAGCCTTCCCTGCTGCAACTTGAGGCCATTTCCTTTTGTCACGTCACTTCTTACCGGGGAGATCTCGGCACTTCAACCTTACCTGCTCCTTCCCCGGAGCTCTCTGGCTTGCCTGCATGAGAGGAGAAACACTCCCAGCACAGGAACGGCAGCTCAGCAGGTCCCACACCGAGGCAGGGGAGCAGCTGTCCTCACCACAGCTCCCGTGTCAGCTCTCACAGATCGGCTCTGCTCTGCCTCCCGGGGGCAGATCTCTGCTCAGCGCTTCAGAATTGCCTGTTTGGAGGAGGGGGAAAAAACAGGTTAGCCAAGATTTTTATCCAGACTTATCTGATGTCTTTGCCTGCTTTGCCCCTTCCTGACTTCCTCCTGCTAAGAAAACAGCTGCCTTTGGACTTCTAGGGGCAACTGCCACGTAATGCTTGAAAAGGACCTACAGAAAAGTGCCTCATTTTTCAAGACTCAGCCAAGAAGACAGACAACTGCACCTTCTCCATCCCCACTGCCTGCAGAGCTGCCAGGCACCAGGCCAGCTCTGCTCCTGCTTCCAGTTGTTCCCAACTCTGCTGCAAGAACTGAAGGCTGCTTTGGCGTTCCATTGCTCCGCTCCTCCCAAAAAAGATCTTTCAGTGCCGTTCTCCCTCCACGGGAAGGGCCCTTCTGTCTCACACACTCGGTGACACGAGGCTGCGCCAAGCTGCAGCAGCCTCTGCTCCAGCTGGGAAGGGCTTTCTTCCTCCTCTGGCACCTGGCTGGCACAGGTTGCTCACACACGCTGGGGCTGCCCCATCCCTGGAAGTGTTCCAAGGCCCATTGGTGCTCTGGGATCAGGCTCAGAGCGACCTGGTCCATGGAACCGTGTCCCTGCCCACGGCACCAGGCTCGGAACGAGGTGATCTTTAGAGCCCCTTCCAACCTGAATTATTCCATGACTCTGTGAACTCAAAAAACTCGGGGAATAAATCTGTAAAGTCACTAAATACATAAAAGCATATCCCCATCAGCATAACTTTGAATGAAAAGTATATCTACAAACAGGGAGAAATATTCTATGTATTTGCTCTTGCTACCTTTCAGGCGTAATTTCAGCTATCTCTTCCAGTTTTAAAATATTCTCTTTTGAAATAATAAGCGGTGTTCAAATTTTAGCATTTTTACACTATTGCAGCAGCAAAAATTGCTGACAATCAGGCCGTGTCATTCTTTATGGAGCAGAGCCATTGTGACAGCATTCCTGGGACAGAAATTTTACAGGACGTCACTCCACAGAGAGCACCAAATTCCATATCAGTTGGCAGTTCTGCTCCTCCACATCAGAAAGCTAAACTAGGACAAGACAGCCTCGGGATTCACGAATGGCAAGGCAATAAGAGACACGCCTTAATATTATCATTACAATTTCCACAGATCTGCCACCTGATCTGCGACAGCACAGCACCCTGGCCCAGAGGAAGGTGAGCCTGCCCAGGACAGGGGTGGAACTAGGTCGTTTTCAAGATCTCTTCCACCCCAAACCATTCTGCGGTGTGATGACACAGGAGAGTTGTAAGGGAGAAGAAGGATGAATTCCTTTGGAAGGATCATTGTTTGCCTCTCTAGTAGCAGGCTTTGCTGGCAGGATTGTTTTGCTCTTGCACTGACCTTGGCTGAAGGTGCTTCACCCTGCAGAGAGCGGTGACAGCCTGCTGCACACGCTGTTCTTGGGCAGAGCGCACGGAGCCAGAGGGCAAAGAGCCCCCAGCAGGTCCGTGACAGGAGCGGATGCTCCTCCCCACCTTTGGAAATATCCATTAGGGATTTTTCCAGCAGATGGCAACAGCAGACCGGCGTGGACTGCAAGGGCAGACTCTGCGGGCTGCCTGAAATCTGGCTGGGCTCCACCCAAAGCACCTCTCGGGTCTGCTCCTCCCGCTCCTGGCATTGAGCCTGGCTGGCAGCCCGGGGCATGGTTACTGGAATACAGAATAAATCAGTGCCGCAGGAAACTGCACAACAAGCTCTGCGGCTCTTGCTGTGTGTGCAGGCCTTAAAACACACCTGGTGCATTTGGAACAGATGAAAATTATGGCTCCCCCTGAATAAACATGATTTCTCTCCTAGATATCATTTTGAAAAATAATACTTCAAGGGGTGATCAGAATGGGAGCGCAGACAAACACCAAGAATAAAAACTACAGCGTTTGATGCTTTATCAAAAGGTGTGCCTGCCCTACCGTGTCGGGAAGCTGGACTGCTGGACCCAACTTTGCAGCACATTCTTGTCATTGCTTCTGAGCCACCTTCACCAGCTGCTCTCGTGGCATTTGCCGTGCCATTTGCAAATTACAATACGAGCGAACCTGGAAGGCAAAACACAAGATAAATTTACAGCTGGACGGTCAAATCTTTTTCTCCAAAATGCAATCAATGTACAGCTTTCCCCTTAAGCTGAAGTACAGGCCAAATTCATAGAATCACTCGGGTGAGAGAAGCCCTTCAGGCAGTGAAAACGAGCATTTAGGTGTGGTATGAAGCTTGGGGAGCCCTGAAGAGGCTGTAAAAGTCGACTGATATTCTTTGGAAATTACAAATAAAAAACGGGAGGAATGAATTTACAATGAATCCAGTGCGGAAACGCCGCAAGGGACAGCTTGCAGGGGAGATGCCTGAAAGCCAAAGCTGTGCTTCAGTGACATCTGAGGTGACAATTTTGCAGAGTGCCTGTACACAAGTTTCTTTTCACTGCGAGCAGCGAGCAGCGGCTCAGAAGACCTGGCTGTAAAAAACACAGGTTATTGTCCCCAAGCACATGCCAGTGGTCTGGAAAAGGGTGACACTCGTTGACATGACTGTTGTGATTGCTCAAGGGGAGAGCTCCTCAGTCCTCCTCACTTCACCGATGCTCCCCGTTGGGGCGCAGGTGAATGGCACCACTGGGCTGTGCTTCACCTCCCTGGGTATATTCTGTGCAGGGAACTGCAATGCCATTGCAACTTTTCTGCTCTCACATCATTCTTCCAAAGAAAGACAGTACCTTGAAGGGAAAAGTGCCCTGTCCCTGTCCCACTTCCTTTGTCACTTGTGCTAACCCACAGCACACACTCCCTGCACATGTTATCTGAATGTTAACTCTGTTTACAAGTGCTGTGAATAAACCCCAATCCAACTGACAAAGTTCTTCTTTGCTCACATTTCAATACAAGGCTGGAACTATCACCTTGCAAAGAACTCTCCTCTACCAGTGCTAGATGCAAAACCAAAAAGCAAACCTAGGAATGCCTGCCACACTCCAGCACACAAAGCTGCTGCTGCTGCTGCTGCTGCTTTTAATGGCTTAGCCTGAGGGCTTTGCTGCTCTTCCTTTGCTCTGCTAATGGGAAGGACTGGGAGACCTCTTTGAACTAGCTACACATACCAAAGACTGAATAAACAAGTATTCTTCATCCCATTTCTCTTAAGAGTTTGTCCTGACAGATGTCTTCTCCCTCCTGAGGTGTGGATTATAGTTTGTGTTTCCCTTTTTTGCCCCCTTTAGCCCTTGAAGCATTTCACACCCTGCTGGGCAAATGCCCAGAAGTAATCAGACTGACTGAACACGGGGAAACGCAGACAAAAGAAAAGGCTGGAAGCTACTGTTCTTCTCCCAGCTGGCACCGCCAGCTCCTGAGGGCTCAGCCACGACAGCCCACGTTTGTGACAGTACCTGTACGCTCTGGGTGTGTGCAGCCCTTGTGTCCTGCGGCAGCCTGGAGCTGCAGGCTCAGATATCCACCGCGAGCTCCTGGATCCTCCAGGACAAAGCCAGCTCTCCCTGCTGCTCCCGTGTTGCGCTGCCTGTGGAGCAGGGAGGGAAGGAGAGGCACACAGGTTAGCACAGTGGCAGTGCACGAGCTGCCAGGCATCACCCATCTGACCCGCACCAAAGAGGAAATCTTAATTTTCAGAACTTCCCATCATGCCACACAAGACACTGAAGCCGTCCAAATCTGGAAGGGATAGCCTGGCATGATGCCTCCCCCAGGTCATATCTTACATCAAGAGTTCTTTTTCTCCTGCACAAGGCTCTATATCCTACTTGGACAGATATACAAATATCTATAGAAACTACAGATATTCAATAAGCCATCTTAAATCATAACAGCCAGGCCTCTGTACGACCGTGCTTAACTCCTGCTCAGCTCACGCCATCTCCCCGTTCCTCAGGCATCAGAAACCACTGAAACTCCCGTGTTTTCCTGGGGGCTGCCTGCCTGCAGCTGCCCTCCTCTCACCAACGGGGCCACCTGCCAGGCTCCCCAGGGCACAGCAGCCTCCAAGGGGAGCATTCGTCTGTTTGAGAGGTGATGGAAAGCCTGGGGAAAAAAAAAGCTCAGCGACACTGTGGCTCTGAAGGTGCAAGAATCATTACCCTGGAGACGTGCAGCTCACCTGGTTCATGCTGCGCACGCTCTCTGCTCGCTTCACCTGAGCGTTCAGCTGGAGCGATCCATTTCCACGCGCTGGGCTGGGTCCGTCTCCGTCCCTGCTGCGAGAAGGTGTTCGGGGGGATGCCGCTGCCCGCTCAGCAGACGCTTCACACACTCTGCCAGCAGCAGGGGCAGCCTTTGAGGCCACACCAGCCTGGCACGGAGTCACTGAGCCATTCTGACTGTGTTAACAGCACCACGGATGAATCCCCATACCCTCGGGCCTTCATTCTCCGGCACCCCGAGCCCCGCGGCTGCGCGGCAAAGAAGGAAAGCGGGCACCGGAAGAGAGGAGCGAGAGCAGGGCATGACAAAGGGCGGCGAGGGAGGGCGGGCCGTGCAGGAAAGCGGCACGGGAAGGGAAAGCCCGGGAGGGGGGTAGAGGGAGGGTGGACAGAGGAAGCAGAAACGGGGAAGAGAAAGGGAGTAGCGGGGAAGGGGCCGGACAGGAAGGAGCCGGGCTTGTGGGGGGAGAGGGAATGGGGGAAAGGGAGCGAGAGAAGGCGAATACGGGGAGAAGGAAGGAGGGCGAGAGAGAGGGACAGGCGGGGAAGCCTCACAGAGCCCCGGCTGCACCCCGAGCCCGGCCCGGCGCCTCGCCCTGCCCGGGAGGCTGCGCTCGGGGGAGCTCGGCTCGCTCCGGAGTCACTCGGCTCCAGTCGGCTCTTCGGCTAAACTCGGCTATTGTCGGCTAAACTCGGCTATTGGCGGCCGCATTCGGCTGCATTCGTCCCTTCGGCGCGCTTCGGCCCAACTCGGAGCCGCTCTCTGCGCGTTCGGCTGAGCTCGGCTCGGCTCGCCTCCCCGACGGCGGGCAAGCGGCGCCGCCTCACGTTAAACTCGCCCGGCTCGGGGCGCTCCTGCTGCCGCGTCCCGCGGGCGGCCCGGCCATCGCACCGACACGACCGGGAGCGCGGGGTGGCACAGGAGCTCATTGGGCTGTGACCGCACTCGCGCTAATTAGCGCGCACGAGAGCGGCGGGCTCGGTTCGGCTGAGCTCGGCTCCGTTCAGGCAGCCTCGCAAGCCTGGCCTCGGTTCGCTCGAGCCCGTCAGGTTCGGCCGGTCTCGCCTTGGTTCGGCTGAGCTCGTTCCATTCGGCCGAAGGCGGCGTCGTTCAGTCGTGTTCTTATAAATACCTTTCTTTATTGACTGTATATTTCTATATTTAGATTTATACTTCCATAATACTTCTATTATTCCAAATAAAACCCCCGTCTCTAACCAAATAAACACAAAAAAAGCCTTCTTTTGAACGATATTGAAATATTTTTATACTTTTGTATAATTATATTCACATTTATATTTATAGTTTCTTTTGATGCATTATATTCATAATTATATATAATAGATACAAAATTCTAGGAAAGTATTTAAATTATTATTTATATTAGGTATCACATCTACTGCTACAACTAATTTTTTCTTATAGGTTTAAATTTTATATATATCTGTATATATTTCTATTTCTATACTTAGATTTCTCCCTTTATATTATTTGTAGTTATAATTTTTACAATCAAAACACTGCCTATTGACAAATGAAAAAACCCACTTTGTTTAACTATATTAAAAAATATTTTCATGCTTATAATTGTCATATTTATATTTATAATTTGTTCAGTATTACATGAGAACATACCTGCTCCTGCACTGCAGCGGGGCTCCCTCTCCTGGGGTCCTTGGGGTGCCCCAATGGCATCAGAGCCCCGAGTCTTCATCCCCTTCTCCTCTATTTAGAAACTACACTGGAACTTTTTTCTGGAAACAAAGACATTACCTAAATCCTCTCTCCGTGTCCCAGACAGATGCATATTCAGTTATTAGTTGGCTGGGCAGCAGTTTCTTAAATAGAATGATAAACAAGATGTGAACATTTTAGCTACAAGCAAATAGGCAAATCTGAACAAGGTACTGGTGGCCAACACCAACCACCAAAGTGATTTTGAAGGAATTTTTTAAACAATAAAATAATGATACCACAAAAATTAAGCAAAAAGCTAACTACTGGCTAAGAAAGAAGGAAAAATTAACTTTTGACAGCAACAACATTCCAACCACACAGGCTTTTTCCCCATGTCATACCTTGTAACTACGTCTCTTGGCAATTCTCATCATGTATCCCAAAAGGAATAAATACCTCAGAGCGTCCTAAAGCAAAAAGCAGCACACGTGAGCTCCTCACACTCCCGGGAGGCCGGCACAGCGTGCACTGAGTCTGCAACAAATTCTGCTCACTGAGGGTCTGCAAACAAAGGCTCAACTGATGAACTGAACTGATTTTAAAGAGAGGTTTTCTAAGCGCTGAAGCACAACAAAGAACAAGCAGAAACAATTCTTAAAAAAAAACCTGCAAGTTTCGTTTAGCATATATGCGACTGATTTCCACCCTGTGGCTTCTCACTTGGATTCGTCTGCAGGTTCAGGAAGATGACAATGCACACTCTGCCTTCCCTGAGCCCCCCACGGCAGCGGAGCGCTGCTCCGTGCGCTCAGATCATCGGGAACTGGATTACACGTGCCCGGATGGACCGGAACTGCTCTGCTGCAGATTCAGGAGACGATGGCAGAGAGGGGCTGGCCGAGGCGTCGTCCCAATTCCGTTCCTGTGTGACGAGGAGCGGTTTGTTCCCAGCAGCTGCAACAATCCCCAGCTCGCTTCCGTGGTGAGTGCCGATGGCACACAAATGGCAGCCCGAGGAAATCGTGTTCTGGGCTCTAAGTGGTTGGGACAGGGTCCGATTTTTTGTTTTGTATCTGTATGATGATTAGTACGACAGGGCCCTGATCGATGACGTGGCAGCACAGAATTAAAAACTCCTCAATAGGATTACATCGGCTTCGAGGAAAAGACAAAAGCCTAGCACCCTTCTGAAATCTACTTTTAATCCAGAGCACACGGATTGTCACCATGCTGCACCTTCCAGCTTTTCAAAGCAGCTTACTTCTGAAGACCAGGAAACACTGATTTCTACAGAAACAATGGGCAACCCCCAGGCTAATCTCAGCACTACTGTTTAATAGGGGACCTGCCAGCGTGCCAGTCCAGCCTAAAGTGTGCTTTACTTCAGTCTAACATCCCCACAAAATTCTTCTCACGTCTCCCAACCCTGAAATCTTATTTTCCCCTAAAGCTTCTCATCATTAGCAATTTCCAAGTAACATGTTTTTTTTACAGCATTCAAAAATGTCATGCTGGACTGTGCTAGAGAGTAATCTGCAAATATAAGCTTAGCAAAGTTCGAATTGACTTGTCCAGAGAAAAAACCTACAAGCGAGCACCTACACCTGCCTAAAAAGAGCTAACAAGCCCCTGGCAGCTGCCAGCATCAAAGCACAGTGGATGTTTCTAACACAGGGTAAGGATAACAATATCACCTTTTGTTCTCTCCAGCTTGTTTTCCCTGCAGTCATATTTCGCTTCTTATGATTTTTCTAGTCTCCGTATCTTCGTGGACAGCACCGAGCCTGAAGACAAGGATACGAGAGTCTTTCCCTGCCGTATGGAGAGAACCAGGAAAACAGTTAAAAAGAGAACAGGGTAGTTTGAAATTCATACTTGCAATGAGAAGCAGCGCCTAACCAACAGAACAAAAGTAAACAAAGCATGGCAGCTCCCTGGGGACAGAAGACTTACAAACTCTCCAGAATTTACAATTCTAGCGACCATCTCCTTTAGGACAGCAGCCAAGTGTCCCATGAGGTGGCGCTACACCAAAGAACAATCTGAGAGGTTCCAAAGAGCAAAATGCACAATATTTTGCAAAGACATAAAATCTTGCAAAATAACAAAAATACAATGGATGTAAACTACAGGGCAAGAGTACAAGTGTTCACTTTAAGAGCTGGAACCATCCAGGTGAGCACCTGATAACTGGATCCTCAGCAGAGTTTGAACCCTTCAGGACACAGAAGGGTTTTCCCCAGAAATTTCACAGACTGAGTTTTGATAGAAGTACAGTTGCCACATCCTCAGAAACGTCACCCATTCTCCAGGTGTGTGGAGAGAACTGCAAATGGCTCTCACGTAGTTTGAGCTAGTTCTGTAAGGTCTCGGGGTGAATTTCACCAGATGCAACCAAATTGGGCAACTCCCAGTGGGACAGAAGGAACCCAAAGCTTGGGTAAGCAGAGCTGCAGCAAATACTGAGGAAACAAACATAACAGTGTAAAAAATAATAAACCATCCTCTTTTTTTCCTCTTACTTTTGTTTTTTTCTTATTCAGATCAGCATAGCAATTAAAGAGAAAGTGAAAAACTCACCATTACTGAACATTTCATCATCTGCAGGCTGAGCATCCTTAGCATAGAGGACTCCAAAGTTAAAATTCACCGAGCCCTGCGAAATAAAAACAAATATTGTATGATAAACAGTCAGACAGCAAACATAAAAATTTGTTTCCTCTAAGGACTTTCAGGTATGTATGTATCTTTGCATACATCCTACACATTAGAACATACACTTCATACCATCACCTAATACATAATCATTTACCTTTAAATTTTGATAGTATAGCATGAATTTTTAACTTAAATTGGTGATCTATTATTATTAAGTTGGTGCTTAAAGTTATTTCTGCTGTCACGTTCAAAAAAACATTAATTTTTTTTACTGTAATGACCAATTGATTTCAAAGTCATCACAAGCCCATCAAAATACAAAGCTCTGTTCACTGGACGGGTCTGTGAGCTAGAAGTAGTTAGGCTTCTACTTCCCTCTTGTTCTTCCAGAACCAAGAAATCCTGTCAACAAAACCAGGATCTTTAGCCCACTGCTGTGAAAGATTCTACAAGGATGATGGTTTGATTTGTGTTTAGAAGTTTTGATTTGAAATGGCCAGTTCAATGGATAAAGACAGTTTAAGTAGTATTACATTACTGTTATTATTATTTCTATTATTATTTTTACTATTACTACTACTATTATTATCACCTGTTACTGGAAGAAACAGACCAGTAGTACCTATACTTAATTACTTTTATTTCCAGAAAATAATAAAGAAAAAAGAACCAAACCAAAAAAAGTCACTTCCTACCTTTTCTATCAAGGGATGAAAAATTTCTCTTGGGCTCTCCTCCAATTTACTGTTAAATGGAATGTTCTGTGGAACTGCCATTTCTTTCCCAAAATACTAACTTCCAACACTTCCTGAACGTATTTTGTATTTTAAAACAACAGAAGTTAGTGAGACTCTGTGGAGGTCAGGTTTAAATTTCTTTCCTTCTAAAGCACAGAGTTCTGTTCCATCACCCCGCCCTTTGGCTCTACACTGAATCATGGTGAGCATTTGAGGAGTGCTCAATAACCAATTCTATTTCTCTCTTTTTCTAGTTCTCTCTATTCTTAAATAATTCAAGACAAGTCAAATGAAAAATGACAAGTCAAATGAAAAAGTTCAGCCTGAAAGTCACACTTTTTCCCTTTGTCTGGTCAAGAACAGGCTCTATGCTGCCTTCAACGATTAAGACTTGCAAAACCGGTTTTACAGGTTTATCATAAAACCCACAGAAGGCAAGCTCTGAATAACAGGAAAAGGTACACAGGCAAATACCTAAAGGGATCACTTCTTTGGAAATACATACCTTGATAGAGATCGCACTGAGAACCTTTCTGTGGGACTCTAAGGGAGACGTATTTTCTGAGTACCCTGTAAACAAGAAAAGCTACAATATATTACAGGACACCCCCACTTTTTCTACACATTCAAATAGGATTTTTAATAAAAACAATTCAGTTAAAAAAGAAGGAACAAAACCAAGCTAATTTTACTCAGCTATATTTACTCCCGATTTGGAGGAAAAAAAAAAAAACGCACAGGTGCTCGCCGTGCTCGCCCGGGGCGGCTCCCGCAGCTCCCGGCCCGCGGCAGCAAAGCACCGCCCCGCCCCCCGCCCCGCCGAGTGAGGCCGAGGAACCGGGCGGACGCTCCTTCCGCGCTGCTCGGCGCCGTGCGGGCGGCTGGACGGAGGCTTCGCCCGTCCAGCGTCGCCGCCCCGCGCGGGAGAGGTGCCGGGAGCGGCCCGCGCACAGCCGCGCGCAGGCCGCCTGGCCCGCCAGCCACTCATGTGCCGCGTCAGCCGTTGCGTCACGCGCCGTGCCGGCAGCAGGGCCTGCCGGGAGTTGTAGTCTCGGGCTGACAGCCACGGCTCCGTCCCCCAGCGCCGGGACCTGCAGTCCCTCCCGGGCATCAAACGGGACCTTCACCCCTGGGCGGGGAAGGACCTGAGGCACCACCGCTCCTCCCGAATGCCCTCTCTTTTTCCCTCCAACCCTTTTTTCTTTTTTCACTCTGTTTTTCACCCCTTCCCTTCCCTCTTGCTCTCCCGCTTCCTTTCCTTTCCTTTCCCTTCCCTTTCCCTTTCTTGTATTTCTGATCTTGGTTTACCTTTCTAGCTTTAGAATAAAAAAACAGCAGTAGAAACTATCAGGCTACCTGGGAGTAAAAAAAAAAAACCTCCAAAACGAAAAGGATTTAAAGAAAACTATTTATTCCCTGGGAGCCTGAAATTTTCTACTGCTGCACGTGACATAGAGCTTTTATTCCTTCTTATAGAGAGTTGATATTTTCTACTTACTTTATACAGCGCCCCCTGCCGTCTGTCCCGGAGCACTGCAGGCACAGCGATCCCTGCCGTCTGCACAGGCGCACTGCAGGCACAGTGCCCCCTGCCGTCTCCCTCGGAGCACTGCAGGCACAGCGATCCCTGCCGCCTGCACAGGCGCACTGCAGGCACAGCGCTGCGGCGTTGTTCGGTTCTGTTGAATGAAACTCGGCTGAATTCGGCTTGCTTCGGCTCTTGGTCTAAAGTCGTTTCAGTTCGGCTCTTCGGCCGAACTCGGCACGGTTCGACTAAACTCGGTCATATTGGGCACATTGTCTAAATGCGGCCAGTGTCGGCTACACTCGGCTATCGGTTCCAGTCGGCTATCATGGTCTCTTGGTGTAAACTGGGCGATTTTGGGCCGCCCTGGGCTCTTCGGTTCAAGTCGGCTGTTCTCGGCCACCCTCGGCTCTTCGGGTCAACTCGGCTATTTCCGGCTTCCCTCGGCCCTTCGGGTCAACTCGGCTGTTTTCGGCCACCCTCGGCTCTTCGGCTCTTCGGAACAATTCGGCCCGGCTCGGCTCCCTCAGGGCGCGAAAGCGGCCGTCAGAGGACCCCGGCACAGCGAGGCGTTTAACCCAGATGCCTGGCACAAACCCGCCAAACTACCCCGCCCGCGGCGCCGCTGAGCCCACAGCATGTGTCGGGTACACATGAAACGCCACAGAAAAATCCGTCGGAGCCGCCATGACGTCAGTATTCTGTGCAGGCAGTCCACTTACACCCACCCCGGTCCTCCACTTCCCCGCCCTTTTCGCCGCCATGCTGAGAAGGTCAATTAAAAGTCCGCGACACCCGTGACGCGCCACTCCCAAGGTGGCGGCCTCTCGGTGCAGGGCTGCAGTACCGCGCTCTGCCCACAAGGCGGCAGCACTGCCGCACGCCCCAGCCGGGGGCGCAGCGCGCCTCGGGGCTGCGGGCAGGGAAGGCGGCGAAAAAGAACAGGGGCGGCCCCCGCCGAAAACTGCTCTGAAATAAATGCCCCAAAACAACGGGGAAGAGGAAAAAGAAACTTCTGCCTCTAATCTAATAGGATAAAAGACAAAACAAAACACAACACACAAAAAAAACCCCAAAAACCCAACAATTTCTTTTAAAAAATATTTAAATATTTTTTTAAAAGTTTTTTCATATTAATATTCACATTTCTATTTACAATGGATATTGATGTACACTGTCCATTTATACATTTCTTTTTATAAATACATTTCTATTCCATATTGCATATATCCCTAAAACTTAAATTTATTTGTATATTTTTATACATATTTTTACATAGTAAGTATATATTTCTGTTACGATTTTTACTTCTGTAACACTTGCATTATTTAAAATAAAACCTTTGCCTCCATCCACATTAAAGCCAAAAAGAACCCCTTTCTTCTCAACTCTATTCAAATATTTTTTAAAATTCTAGTTTTCAGGTTCATATTCATATTTACGTTTAAAATGTACACTTATGTATACTGTTGTTTGTATTCTTCATTACATCTCTTCCTATTATTGGTATTTCTTTATATTTTGTGTTTTTATATATATATTTATATCTCGATTGTATATCTCCATATTTCGAAATAAATAACAATAATATCTACATTCATATTATTTAAAATAAAAACCCTGCCTCTAACACAATAGGAATAAAAAAAACCCCAACCCTTTGTTGTAAACAATATTTAAATAGACTTTATCCTAAAGTTCAATTTTTATATTCATATTTGTATTTATAAGGTATATTAATGTCTATTGCTTACTTATACATTTATCTTTACCAATGTCAAGTTAAAAATAAATTTATATTCTATATTACATCTGATGCGAGTAGTTATTTATGAATTTTTATATATTTTTATTCATATTTTTTATATTGATTAAATATTTCTGCCTCAAGATTTTTACTTCTGGAACATTCAAAATAAAACCCCTGCCTCTACTTAAATAAAAGCCAAAACATTCCCTTTCTTTTAAGCTATATTTACATATTTTTATATTTATATTCCCATTTATAATTTATATTGCCGTATAATGTTATTTACATTCTACACTACAACTCTTCATATTACTTACATATATTTATATATAAATTTATATTCATATTTTAGCAATTTCTCCTTATATATTTATTACATATTTCTATCTTAAGATCCACATTTCTATATTACTTATATTATTTAAAATAAAACTCCTGCCTCTAACCAAATGAAAAGCAAGGACACCCCTTTATTTGAACCAGATTTAAAAATGTAGGAAGTAAATCTATTTTTCAAAATTAAAATAATATTCATATGGATATTTTAATTTATTCATAGATATTATATATATTAGAGAGAATACCTTCTAATATAATAATAGATATATATTTTCTGTATTATAGATTTCTTTTATTTATATTTCTTTAAATAAATTGTTACAGAGATTTGCATTTGTATATATATTTGTATATCGGAATTGATATTTTATTTCTATCATTTATTTAAAAACCCCGGCCTATAACCTAAAAAAACCCCCCAATTTATTTTAACTCTATTTAAATATTTTTATATTTACTATGTATATTTATATATCTTTGTGTATATATATATAAGAGACTATCATTTATCTACATGAAAATGTTACAATTATATACCATATATTATAGTTTTATGTAAGTATCTGTTATCTATATTTATGTCTACCACTATAATTTCATATTTATTTTTAAATGTATATTTATTTCTATTTTCACCTCTATATTAAACCATAGAAGTTCATTAACCCGACACACCAGAACCTCTCCCAGTAATTCCCAAAACAGCACTCTGCTTCCATCCCCTCTGTGGGCCGTAGCCCTCCACTTATCTCTCAGACATCAGGGGATGCTGGTCTCAGGTGCAAAGAAAGGCCACATCGGCACCTAGGAAAGTCCTGCTGGCACCGGGCTGGTGTCTCCCAGACAGCTGTATTAAAGAAAACCAAACATCAGTGTCTGGTCTTGGCACCAAATCGGCCAAAACCCCACCACTCTGCTACTCACCACGCTCCTAGGAAGGCCCAGCACCTCCTAACCCTGACCCTCTGCCACACATGGAATGCATCTGCACCTGAAAGAAAGTTACAAAGTACATCAAACACCACCAGGATAACTCACAAGCTGCAAGCAACTTATGTCAATCTAGGAATAGCATCTAGAGCCCATGTACACCCCACATTACAAATTTCAACTCCCCAGGCCTGTCCCATTGCAGCAGGCCTATTGCAGCAGGGCAAAACAGCTCTGGCACAAAAAAGTGCAGACACCCGTGACACAGAACGTGACAAACAGGGGGACACGAAACACGACACATCATGCTTGTGGTGAGGGCCTCGAGGGGAGAAGGCAAAAGAGATCCCAAAGACACACCAGGGAACACAGCACACCGGACAAAAAGACACAGACCAGAGCTGTTCTGCACTGCCCACCTGAAAGCTGCCATCAAAAGTAGAGCCTCTCCCTTTAGCCGTCCTAAGAGGCCCTTGGAGAAGATTGTTTTTCCCTCTGCTAATCTTTAAATCTGCCCCAAGAACTCCCAACCCACTACTCTCCCATCATCCCATCTCCAGGCCGTGGCCCCTGACCTATCTTTTGCATGATCAGTGATGGGAATCCACGTTGCACCTGAAATGAGTCTGCCTCGGAGGGCCTCGTGATGGCCTGTCAGCCTCTCGGTCAGCTACAATGAAGAAAACCAAAACCAAAGTATGAGTCCGGAGTTATGTGGGACAAATCCCACCAAGGCGGCTACTTGCCATCTCCTGAGTGTGCCTGGCTCCTTAAGCCTCCAGCTTCATCCTGATTCCAAGGCTGTGGCCTTTATTAGGAGTGGCACCTGGGTTAGAGAAAGGCAAAGTTAAATGGCACTCCTGTGAGTGCAGTGGATGACCTTGTGTGCTGCAAGACATGTGAAAACCTCTGCTAGGCTTCTGAGAAGCCTTGTGTAGGGGGGCCCTCAAATAAACAAATAAACACCCTCTCTCACCCTGCTGCCTGCAAACCTCCCCCTGCCCACAATAACTCCTAACTGGATAC